TATTAGTTGTTGCTGCAGCTGGGAAACAAACAGTTAAACCCCTGTGCTGTCCGTGAGGGCCACTATCTGCTGAACTGGTGGTCTAGAAATCTGATAAGGATTTAGCTGCACAGTGCACACTCCCAACACTACAAAGATCTTTCATTTATGGCATTGCACCCGGGATCACACACTCTCTCCCTTCCCCTCCCCCTCCCCCCTTACCATCAGAACTCCTGTGGCAAAAGGAGAAGTGCTCTGACAGTTCACACTTCACAGACTATGTATTCACATGCCCTGCACCTCCACCTGGGAGCAGGAGCAAGTGTTAAAAAACGATCTTCCTCTAAGAGCAGAGGGAGAACTTACTGTGAGGAGCTTCACACACTGCATGACAGGCAGGCTCACAGTCAGCTACGGCCACAGTGCGGTCCCTATATTCTGTATATTTAAATGAAATCAATCTTGCCTGGCGTTCAGCTTTAAGGGTTAAAATACATTTGTGTTAGAAACAGACTTGAAATAACTTCTAAATAGAGTCCATAGTTAGGTTTAAGTGTTAAAATTAGAAGAGTAGAAGTTCGGGTGTTAAGGGTTAATTTTAGTATACAAAATAGGATTTTGGTTTCCTGTAAAGGGAGGGTTGGTTAGATTAGCATGATAGACCCCTATCAAGTGATTTTCATGCCATCTGTGTCCCACTGGGGAGATTTCCCTTCACTTCCTGTCCTGGAGAGGCAACGGAAAATGAGAGGAAACCTCTTCAGATTGAATGGACTTCCCATATCAGAGAGTTGTCACAGGAGGAACGTTATTGCAGAATTTTGGATTTACCCTTACCTCTTCCTCCGATGGCAACTCAAATTTGGGGGTTTTGCCCCTTGACTTTGTCTCACTGACAATGGACACCAAGGACAAGGATTCTGAGGCCTGAATCCCCAGAAGGGGCATAGACAACAATAGAAACTTAAAGTGCAACCCCAGGCTAAAATCAAACAGTGCCTTGTACATGAATGACCTTTTTCATTAGTGGTGTTTGCAAAAACATCTTCGTTAGTAGAATTGTTTAAAAAAAAAAAAAAATTTGGAAAAATTAAATTTGGAACAGGCCCCATCTGAAGAGAAGCCCCTAAAGTGGCACTGCTCAGTACCTGCTTAGATGGATCACTAGAAGTGGAGGTCACATCTACCAAGCTGAACTTGAGCAATAGTCCCACCATCTTTTAAGCACATAGATCAGAAGATCCAAATTCGGACCCTTCCAGACAGTATATGGTTCTGGTTTTGGGCCCTGGACCAATCTATGCAGCACAGTTGTCTAGGCTTCCAGCTTTAAGAGTGTACCATGTTTAGTCTTTACAGCCAACTCAGCTTGCCGTGTCCAAATCCCGACACATCAGAAGAAGCTTGGATGTACTGCTTGTCCTGTAATGGCAACACACCCTTTCTGTTTCTTTGCCAGGTTCTCAACACCTGTCCCTTATGAAGCCACCATGGCCAGGATGACAAATGACCTCACTGTGTCACTGCAATGCATGTGGTTCTGTCTGACTGTCCTTACTATTGTGTAATGCGTCTGCCATATTGGTTGGTGTCTGGGTCTGCTCTTCATGGACACATAAACTAGCCCACCCCTTCTGCACATGTGATATCCCGTGCATGCACCATGATTCCCCGGAGGTACACATATCACAAGCTAAAAAAGTAAGGGGAAGATTGTCCCCGGAACAAGTGTCTTCATTGGAAGATTCCCCCTCTATTTCTTTTCCAAAAATTTTAGGCTTCCCCCCAGTGTCAAAAATCAAAGAGAAAGTACAGTACAATAATGAATTCATGTCATGCTTTGTGAATGGAGCCGGAAGTGTCATATTGAGTCTAATGAAGGGACCCAGAGTGGCCCCGAAACATTGCCTGCTTTGTGACATGATGTACATACGTCAATAAAGATGTTTTTGGAAACTTTCACTCCAGTGTGCTGGTGACGTACTGTGTCTTCTTGGATTTGAGTGGCGCCATCCGCTGGCACTACAGCACCCATCTGGTAAGGAGGGCGGTGGGATATCCATTGGAGCCGCAATTGTGGCACACCGTTGTTCACATCATGAACCTTCTAAGCTCCACTGAGAAGTGAGACAAAATAAAAATATCTGTTCCTGGAGCTGGGCTTTAAACATGATCTGATCTTCAAGGATACTATGAGGAGAATTTCTCAAAACTGGAGCAGACAAAAACTGGATCAGCTGTGCATGGCAACCAATCAGCTTCTCTCTTCAGTTTGTTCAGTTAAAGGTGCCCATACACTGTGCGATTATCGCAAAGTGTATGGAAGACGTGCGACCGTACAGTAGAAACGGTCGCACGTCTTTTGTCTAAGGAGCATGCTAGAAAACCCGCCCAGAATCGTACGATTTTCGGCTGGTTTTTAGCATGATCGTAAGATCAATGCCGCACGGGCCGGTGTGCGCACGCGCACACTGCCCATTCAGCATTGCGGTCCACGGAAGCCCGCCCCTCAGGGGGGCGGGCTTGTGACGATCGCAAGTGCGATCTGCCTGTCCAAGATGGGCAGATCGTACGTTTTTTAAATTACTTTACAACCATCGCAAGACTAAGGTCTTGCGATGGTTGTAAAGTGTATTGCCACCTCTAGATTTGAAAACGAAAGAGAAAATCTGATTGGTTGCCGTGCACACCTGCTCCAGATTCTGCCTGCTCCTGTTTTGATCAATTCCCCTCAAT